AAACATTAAATAAATTTCACTCGAAAATTACTGTTTGATTATTGATAGCCGCATGGTAATGAATTTATTTCTTAGAAAAGAATGAAATTATACGATTTTTCCATGCTCTTAAATCTTTGATTCTTTTTTATTGATCGATGTTATATGGAGTCTGTCATTTATTAGAGAACATCGTATCTTACTGGTGATTCTAACATCAAATTATACGAGCTGTAGTCATTCTTCACGAATCTTAAACACGATCCTAGTTTATTGGGTTATTTCAATATATATTCTTTAAGTCAAATAATGGAGTTAGAAAAGCAATTCGTACGTTAACAAATATTCTGATATAATAGGACTATCCATATAAGTTACTAACACAACGAATTAAACATCTAAAAATAGAAATCTCTTCTTTACGATCTTGCATATACTTGATTATTCTCTGTTTATTACTAGACAGTTTATATATCATTTCAATGACAAAAGTTATTCAGACCCCAAAATATTTCTAAGAAATCGATAGGATCAAAAAAAAAGATATAGTTGAACTAATATTCAGGTCTTTTATCCATATGAAGTATTCTTTTGTTTACTATCTTTTAGTAATAATGTAGTAACTTATCGATAAAAACTTGAAAGATTCGTTTGATTTATCATGTATATTATTTCCTCTATCTTTAGTATTTTACTTAAGCTTTAATCCATAAATGTGTTTGTCATTGAAACGATATATAAGGATTTGAGCAGCAATGAGAAATTAACTGAAAAAGAGCGGATGAAAATGTGAACCTTTAAGGAATTGCTCTACTGAATAATATCTTTTACTTGAAATTGAAACTTTCAGATTCAGCTGACTCGTTTATTATTAAGAATGACATTAAATGAAGAATAAATGCAAACGAATGTTGATAAAAATAACTAGCATAACAGATAGCAGATAGAATAGTGAATTAGAATTTTTTCATGAACATATGTATTAATAAATGAGAAGGATATATGTCGAATGAATGAAGAACAAAGTAAATGAATAAAAGAGAGGATGAATATATTCATAATCTTTTATAATTTCTTCTAATGTATTGCGTTTATCTAGCTCTCTGTTTTTCTCTCTCTTCACGAAAAATATAAATACAGTATTCAGTTGATTCTATCCATGTTTATCGTTCAATACATGATGGCGATATTCTATATGATAGGAATGATATGCCAACACATCGAAGTTTTAGAAACTGTTATTTATTTCATCGACAATAATGAACTCTCTCTCGTCATGTTATGCTGAACAGTAGATACTTTGTCTATAAAAGATCATGTCTATCGATGTACAAATATACTCTGTGGATTATCAACCGAAGTTTGTCGTTATATATTTTTGATGTAAAAGTTTGCTTTTAGATATGGAACTGATTTGAACTTTTCACCTTTTGGTAAATCAAAGTTTTTTTTTTCAATTTCCTAATCTTCGTTCTAGCACAGAAAAGCTTATATTCTTTCTGTTTAACAAGATGATTAATGTTTTCATTCTAACTACGTTGTAAGATGTCTGATCTAATTATTAAAACCCATTGTTATTAGAAAAAAGAACTATAACCAAGTTTCAACGAGCAACCATTCATTGATTCTATTTTGTATTCATGAATGCATAAGAACGGATTGATTCCTGCATTAAAACGGATTAAATTATCATTTTTGTCTACTGAATGCGTTAAAACCTGTTTATACAAGAGGAAACCCGTTTTAACCAGTTCAGCTTTTTGATACATCACCTGAACGAGTTATAAAGCATTTTTTTCTGCATTTTTTTATCTAAACGTGTTGAAACAGCGTTTTAACCGTTTACTTGTCTGCATGGGTTCTACTTCACCTTTTTTAATACCTTCTTTCGTTCTTTGTCTGATCCGATAGGAACTTGAAAGAAAAAAAAAACAATAATTCAATGAATCAATTTTTAATCATTTATACTTACTAATAAAAATAACCAAATGTAATAAAAGATACTGTTGTAATGAGACCAGCACCAAGAGACCAATAATAGAGTGGAGCACGATTCTTTCGGATGTCGTTCAAAAGGGATACCTAAATACAATTCAATGAAAATTATTGACATCAAAATAAAGTTTCTATTAAAATGAGGTCATTTCAAATTTAAAGTCATAATTAAAATCAACTTAAACAAAGGGCATGGATGTGACGAGTCTATGCAGCATCTCTTTGTCTGCAACCTAACTACTTCACGTCCCAAATATACCTCCAGTGCTGAGTTACGCCTTTGAATAGGAGATAATTCAAATGATCTTCTAATTTAAAGAATCATCTTGTGTAATTCTCTTTGTGAAGAAGTTTTATATGTCAAACAAAGGTTAAATAAAAATTTTTGCCTAGAAATGTTGACTATCATATTGCTTTGTTATCTAAGAAAATTCGGAAAAATTCACTTTTAAAATAACTTCGATAATGTTAGAATCACATTTAACTTGACGTATTCAGTTCCGACAAGGGAAAATTGCCAGATGTGAATGTTCATTTTCAATCGACTTTATGCTAGTTTATAGAGTTCGATGAACTGATCAAGATGGCATAATGCGTTCTTCCCTATAGACTTACTTTGAGGAATTAAGTCAATCTTATCTACGGAAAAAAATTATTGTATATGTCCTAAATAGATGAATATACAATTGAAATCAGATGGATTTTGAAAAGAAAATAATTGAATGCCATACATTCATAGTATTAGGCGTAGTTAGGATTTCGATTTATGTTGAACGTGTACAGTTAATTAAGGCGCGAGTTCAGTATTAAAGTTTTCAATGCTGAGAACTAACCTAACATAAAAATTAAAATGTCTAAAATAACAGCTTTCATTTATTTTTTCTGTTGTTGAAATCGGCCTAGTTCTTCATAGCCAGAGAATACTTTATCCCATTATGATTAGCTCATCACGCTGTACAAAGTAGCATAAAGTCAATTAAAAACTACGGACACTCACACTTTAGAATCTTTCTTCGTAAGTAGAGAGTATACTCATAAGTCATGACATCCATCAAAATGAAATAAAAACTTTCAACTTCAAATATCAAATGGATGAATTATTAAAAAATCACTTTCTCAGTATTTGTGGAATATTTCAATAATTTTTTTACTTATTGTAACATTTAAAAGAAAAAGAATCATCTTTCAATTCTCTACAAGAAAATCTATTTCTATTTATCTAAATACTTGAAATAATTTTTTTATCAGATGAAACAAACGATTGACTTAATTGTTACAATTTTCAAAGATGACATTTTCCTTAATTTTGTTCAATCTTTCATTAGATACGTGCACGGTAAACTTTTTTCATAGTACTAGATTGCCCTATTCTGCAAGGTAGGATTATAATGAATACCTCTATTCTTTCATTAGTGTCTTCTTACTTTGACTTTGCTTCAGTTTATATAATGAATCAAGTTGTCGGATGGGATCATTTTCTAAAAACACTTATTTAAAATGATTAGCTAAATAGAAATGATTGAGATATTTCAAAAGATATGTCGAAGGTCATGTTTAATGGTCTACACTGCAATCATAACGATTGATATTATAAATATCTTTTTCTATGACTGTCATCAGTTCAGTCTTGGAATTTATATCTTAAATAATAAATATCTTACCTTTCTCAATCGTATCATTCAGCTATTATCGAAATAAATATCTAAAATGCACTAATATTTTGATGGTTTTTTTTTTATTCAACTAAATTCATCAAATAAATTAATTATATTTTTCATATTTATTTAATAAAAAATACCGAATTTAAAGAGTTATTTTCTTTCGTATATTGTTATCTAACATTACAATTTGTTTACTTTAATAATAACACAAGTTAACCATAATCTACATAACGGGAATGAAATAACGAAAGAAAAAAAAAGAAATTCTTTGTCTCGTTTTATTTGTATTGAGAATAAAGAATACGTACAGAAGTAGAAGAAAAAAACACAAATATCAATGAATCAATCACTCGGTTTTTTTTCACAAAAAACGAAAAAAAAAAAGAGAAGTCAATAAAAATCTTCAGGATAATCTTCAGGATAACCTTCAGGTATTTCACTTTCATATTGAAGCATATCTTCTATATCTAAATCATCTTCATCATCAAGTAAATCATCATAAATAAGTCCATCATCAGGTAATGGTACATTTGGTGTATCAGTTGATGTCCAATCTGATATTAAACTATTTGAATGTGTTATTGTTACATCATATGTATTTGTATTTGTATTTGTTGATAGTGATTGATTTTGTTGTTGTTCATAATGATCATTTGATGAATTTGATGATTGTTGAGTTTCTGTATCAATTAATGTTGTTGGTAATTCAATTGTAGCAGCAGCTGATGATAAAGGTGATTGATATTGTAGATTAGGTACTATTTTAATTTGTATTGAATGTTCATCAGTTGATGTTGAATGTATATTTTGTTCAGATTTTTTATTTATATCCGATATTGATGGAATATTTACTGTTGTTATTGTTACTGTTGAAGAACAAGGTGTTACTTGATCTGTTGTTGTTGTATTATTATTATTATTTGATGATATTTTAAATAAAAATGTTGTTAATTCAGATGGAATAATAAGATCGTCAGGTGGTGTTAAAGAATTTAATTCTTTTTAAGATCATTTGTATGACGTATAAGTGATGCAACATGTTGACTTATTGATGAACTAATACGTTTTTCTGTTGATGATGTTTCTTGTAATTCACGTATCCATGATTCACATTGATCAATTATTTCATCTAGATAAATAATAAAAGAAAAACAAAAAACAAAAAACACAATAACAATAACAAAAAACATTATATTTTTATTTACTTCGTTTTAAAAAGAAATGTCGCCGTATGATATCAGAAAAGAAATACAGGAGGATTTCGTAATTGTTCAAGCATTGCCCATCGAACTGTTGCTTGTCGAATATTAGCATCATATTCAAGTGATTGAGCAGTACCAGTTGCTGTATCACGTGTACGTTCATAACCAGGTTCATTAAAATAAGATTCAGGTACAAATATAAGAGATTGAATAGAGACAAGAACCTTAAAGAAAAAAGAAAAGAAGATAATTATTTTCTAAATCAAATAGAAAATATTTAGTAATAATATCTTTATAGAGAGTTACTCTTCTAATCTTGGAAAACTGAACGATTTTCTTCATTGTTCATTAATCCCCATCCATCAGTCTTAGTGACCTCGAGACATCCCTGATTGAAATTCTATATTAAAAAATTGGAAAGTATTTGACAATTGATTTTAGAAAATTGAGTTATTCTAAGCATATTTTCTTTTAATTTTTTATGAAAATTAAATAACAGAATTTTATATTCAAGTTTAAACAAATTAAAAAATATGATTTTTCATTCATGAATAAATTCTATATTTCTATGCAATAATTATCTCATTAAAATTTGCTCCAATTTCATCTCGTATTGAAACGTAATTACATAGGCATTATTCCACATCTCATTTAAATCCATGCAGTTTTACAATCTCTATAAAAACAAATAAGGTTACAGCTGCTTCCATAACTCGAAAGAAAACTATGATTACTATTTCTTCAATTACAAAAAACAAAAAAAGTTCATTTAAAATTACTTGTAAAAATGTTGATGTTGCATTCCATTTTTCTTCTGGTCTACCATGCCATGTATTTAATATACTTAAACAAACTTTCCCATCATTATATAAATTAGGATTAAATCTAACTGTATGATTTCCTGTTGTTTCTAAATTAATTGATGGTGGTGTTGTTGGATATTGATTTGGAAAATAAACATCAAATATAAAACATCCATTTGAATATGGTGTACCATCAAGACCTGTTATTAATATTTTCATAATATCCATACGATTTTCATCTGAACGTACAAATATTGTTGAACTAAATGATAATGGTAATGATGTTGATATTGTTATTTGTTCTTGTGCTAAACGTTTTATTCTTTGCATTGAATTTATTGTTAATGCATCACGTACAATATCTTCATAATGATATTTAAGTTTTTTATTAAATAAAATTTTATCATTTGTTTCATTTTCAATTGTTATTGGACATGTACTAAATTGTAATAATTTCATTGTTTGACAATAAAATTCTTCTAATGTTATTAATTCATATTTATTATTTAAATTTAATTCTTGTTGATAATTATTATTTTCAATTTGTTTATCTTGTTTTATTTTATCATAAACTTGTTTTAATTCAATTGAAAATAAATTTAATTGTTCATCATCATCAATTTGTATCATTGATGTATATGTTTGTACACATTGTAAAAGATTATCAATTAAATATTCAATATTACTTGTTTGATAAATTAAATTTTTTAATTTTTCATTATTTAATAAACAATTAACTAAACGTAAACAATAACGATGTATATCACCTTGTTTTGATATATCTAATATTGAATCATTACGTAAATATGATTCAAGTACTGGTATAAGACATGATGTATTCATAATTTCAGTTAAATCATCATCAAGTAATTCTTCAGATAATTTATTTGAAAATATTGAATAAAATATATCAAATAAATAAATAAAATGTTCTTCATGTAATTTTTGTATTTAGATTATTTCATCTGGTTTCCATTGTGAATGTGTTGAACCTGTACCAAAACCTGTACCTTTAGCCCAAAAATTTGAATTTGTATTATTAGTACTATTACTATTATTATTATTATTAATTGTATTTAATTGTTGTATTGTTGTTGATTCAATTTGTTCAATATTATCTTCATAATATTCATCATCATTATCATTAATTATTGTTGGATTATTTATTGTTGTTGTTGTTGGTGGTGGTGGTGGTGTTGGAATAGATAATGATGTTGATATTAAATCATTTTGTTTACGATGTGGATGGCGTGTTATTGATGATAAACATGAAAGTAATAAAAGTAAAATACTTGAATGTACGATTTCATCTAATAAATCATTTGATGAATCTTTAAAATAGATAATGTTTCAAATGGTAATTTTGATAATTGACGCATATCAAAATTTTCTTGATGTTGTGTTTGATCTTGATATTCATTTATTATTGATTCTTTTTGTCCAAGCATTAAACGTATTATATTACATGCAAGTGAACGATTTTTTAACATAGCACGTGCATAATTTGGTAAACGAAGAAATATTGAAATTGTTATAAATACATAATATGGCATTGTCATATTATTTGAAGAATTTGTTGATGATGATGTTGAAACTAATGATGAAAAATCAAAAAAAATTATTTTATCAAATATATTTGTATTTGATGATGATGATGATGTTGTTAAACATTCATCATAAGATTGTATTGATGGATAATTTCGAGCAAAATGTTGTGCAAGAATTTTAAGACCATTTGCATGAACAAATGTATCAAGTAATGTTGGATAATCTTTATTTGCAACTATTGATTTATGTGTAATTAATTCATTTTCCTAGAAAATAGATTAAATGATTAGTAGGATTTCTTCTAGTTCGACAAATATTTTTTAGTCAAAATTTTTATCTAACGATATTTCATGATAAAACATTGATCGAAAAAATTTTTTTTTTATTAGAAAATTAGTTGGATACTCATTTAATTTCAAAAGCAATATTAAATATTCTCAAATGTACTCTTCGATAAAATGTCTCTGAAAATCACTTTCAACTAGCGAGAATCCGTGCATACTACACGGCTGTTTTCTTCTTTAACATATGACCTCACACATTTAACTTTTCATTCGCTAACAGACATACAGATACTCGATATTTTGTAGTGCCTATAGCCTTATATCCCTTGTAGCTCTTGTAGGCTTATCTCTTTACTCCTTATTACCTACCATCTTACTGCCTTACTCCCTTAAGGGTCTATAGGTACTCTCATATAATAGCCGATGAGGACCTATGAGTACCCCCATATAATAGCCATTGTGGGCCTATGGGTACCTTCATGTAATAACCCTTAAGGGTTTATGGGTATCTCCATATAATAGCTCCTGAGGACCCATGGATACCGCAATAGGATAGCCCTTAAGAACCTATGAGTACCTTCATATAATAACCCTTAAGGATCTCTGAGTACCTCTATATAATAGCCCATAAGAACCTATGAGTCTCCAATATAGTAGCCCTTAGTGCCTGCCTCTTATAGCCTTATTTGACCTTTGACTCGGCACAGAGAAACACATGCTGAACATTATATATAGATATTTAATAACAAAAAAAAAAACTTTTTTTTCTCTCAACTTACTTGACCATCATTAATTAAAATATGATTATCAAAAGTAAATTCAATCACATCAACTTCGTAAGTATTTAATGATCGACAATCAAATGATAATAATAAATCACTTAATCGTGTAGTTTTAGGTAAAATACATTGTCGTTGTTGTCCATTAATATGTAATATAAAATGTACATTTTCTATAGGTGATATTGATGAAGGTTTTTTTGATATTGATGATTCATTTGTTGTTGATTTTAATGATAATTTTGGATGTTTAGTTAAACTTGTTAATGAACTAATTGATTTTGTTGTTAATTTTCCTTGTATTGTTGATCTTAATGAAACTAATTCAGCTCGTGGTATTTTTCTTCTATGATTATTATTAATTGGTTCACTTGATGCTTTTATTAAATAACTTTTATTTTTAATATAATTTGTAGCTGTCCATATATTAGCTTGTAAATAATTAAAACCAAATAATTTTTCAATTAATTGTCCAATATTCATTGATATTGAACAATCTTGAATTAATTTATGATAAAGTGAATTTCTTTGAAATAATGAATAATATTCACGTATATTTATTGGATAATCACGTGTATTTATTAAACATTGTATATATTCATGTTTAAGTACAACTTCACTTAATATATATTGTAAATAACCTTGTAATGGAAGATCTTGTTCAAGACGTTGTTCAGTTAAATAAGCTAAATATGATGATATTAATGACATATTTATTTGATTTGTTGGACATTGTATAGATAAACTTCTTAATAATGTTATTAATTGTGTTAATAAAATCGATGGTGATTGTATAAATGATGATATATTTGGATTATTAAATATATAAAGTAAATATTTCCATATATTTGATGCAATTATTGTTTTTGAAAACCATATTTGTACATTTGAATATTTACTTATTTTTATTAAATAATCAAGTGCATGATAAATTAATAAATAATTTGATGTTTTATTTATAATATATTGTATTTGTTGATTTAATTCTTCAATTGATTTAATAAAATAATCATTAATTAATATTTCATTAAGAAATTCAACACTTAATGAACATATTTTTAATTGTTTAAAATATTCAATAAATGTTTCATTTTTATTAATACAGGGTGGCCCAAAAGTCACGCACCAAACAAAAAATTGAATATCTTCATTAAGGCTTGAGCAAACGAGCTGATTTTTTTATCAATAATAGAGGTATGTACAAGCTTTATATCCATAAAGACATGTCTAAGGAGACCCTTTGCTAAGTATCACTATTGATCTCAATATAAAAAATTTTACTCCTTCACGGGTAGGAAAAAAACAGTATTCAGGATAGTGCAAGAGTCACTTTATCGAAAAGAAAATTAAATATTTCCATTACGGCTCGAGCAAACGAGCTGATTTTTTTACCAAGTATGGAGGCATGTTTACACTGCAAATCCATACGGACAAGGCTAGTGGGAACCTTTGTTAAGTATATTGTTTTCTTTTCCTATCTGTGAGAAAATATCATTTTCTTGTTGAGGGCGATAGTGATACTTAGCAAAGGGTCTCCTTAGACATGTCTTTATAGATATAAAGCTTGTATATACCTCTATCATTGATAAAAAAATCAGCTCGTTTGCTCAAGCCTTAATGGAGATATTCAATTTTTTGTTTGGTGCGTGACTTTTGGGCCACCCTGTATAATTCATAACTAATATAGGTTTATGATGTACTATTGATGGTAATAACCATGTATAATTTTTTAATAAATATTCTAATAAATTTTCATCAAGTTTTATATGATTTTCTTTTATTTTCCAAAAAATATGATTTATTATTTGTTTCATTTGATCATTAATTAATTGATTATTATTATTAAATAATTGATTCATATTATTAATTAAATAATGAATATTTTTTTCATTAAAATTTAATTCCGATAAAATATTAAAATGATTATATGTAATTAAATATTTAATAAATAAATCAAATTGTTTATCTGTACAACGATTACTAATAAAAATAAATATTTCATTAAAAAGAAAATTATTTATATAAAAAAATTTTTCTTTAAGTATAAATAAAAATTTTTCAAATAAATTATCATTTAATATTAAATGAATTTTTTAGACATAAATGTATTAATTGTAAATAATGATTAAATGAACGATATTTATCTGATAATATCATTGATATTTGTTGAGTATTATCAATTGAATTTATATTTGTTGTTGTTGATTTTATTGATGAATACATAAATTTAATATCATCATCGTTTAATGTTGTTATTATTGTTGTATTTAAATTATTTTTATTATTTAATATTTGTTTACCATAAACAGTTGATATTAAATGTTTGATATGGATGACTTGTTTGTTCAATAATCATTTGTTGATCATATGCATAATAACCATATATTGATATTTGTTGTAAACCAATTGTATCATGATCAATTGGTTTATAAAAATGTATATGTAATTGTTTGACAATATCAATTTGTTTTGTTAATGATAAATTAATTATTTGTTGTCCTTGTGTATTTAATAAATATGAACATGATATAAAATAATAACCATCAGATGATATTTCACATGTTATTGATGATG